GCGTAAGTCTCATGGGCTGGCAGGCAGAAGAAAGTGCTGTTGAGCATGTACCTGCAACTCAATCCCTGCCAGCTCCTCCAGGGATAAACATCAGGCAAATTGGAGCACCTCACAGGCCACTGCGGGCCCGCTGCCCTCCACGCCACCACTGCTGGCATACAGGAGCATTAGAATGGATGAAGTTTCACAACACGCAACTAAGATTTCAGTCTCTGGTTGATCTTAGATGTCTTAATTTATTGTACAACTTGAAAACAAATGTCTTTTTGAATCTGGCAAAAAAATTCTTACAAATCTGTCACTAAAAACTGTGTTACAGAAGAAAAAGATCAAATGATAGGCACATATCTGAAGCTAGTAACTCATCACCAAAGGGCATTATCCAGCAAAAGGTTACTTCTATCCTAAAGAAAATAGTGTCTTCATACTGCTTTAGTGTTGTCCGTAGTTCTTTCTAGTATTTGAAAAGTGTCGTGGAAAACAGCCACAATATGAAAGTTTTACCCATTTTGTAATGGAATAGTTGAACATAAAGTGAGATTTAAACTCACACAATCAATACTATTCAAAAGAGAGGAAAATGAGAAACAGAATTTCAGCTTTTAAATCTGCACAAAACTCTTCTCCATTGCTAGAAGTCTGCTCTGTGACCCGTCACAGTCTGACAAAGGAAAGATTTAAAGTGGGTACTTCTTCCAACAGCTACCCTGCACTCCAAAATCAGCTTTTAAGAAAAAGTCACTGCCGCATAGACAGTCCAAACCAAAAATCTTTCACTGTAGATGTTCTTTACAGTTAAACAGATGCTGAATATTTTCCTGCAACTTTTCATAGTTCAAAGATCAAGTTTTCTTTTTTTTTTTTTTTAGTTCTAAAGAACTGTTAAGTTATGTAAAATATAGCTCCCATTCTGTAAACACCTAAACACTGTGATGCCTCATGAAAATTTCAGGGGTTTCATCTTCTCAGGATTAGGAACCAAAGCATAGGTAATGTATACATACACATGCATGTATCTATATAGTTGTATATTAAAATCAAACCTAATTTTTGGTTAGCCAAAGCAAAGCCAGCCTTGGGTACACTTTAGCCAAGAGATCATGTGCCTAACAGAATTCACACTATTTTGAAAGATTTGGGCAAGACCAGAGGTACTAATACATGCCTTTCATTATATTTTTTTCTCCCCTGTCCAGTTGAGGAGGGGGAGCAGCTTTGGTGGGCATCTGACATCCAGCCAGGGTCAACCCACCACAGACTGCATTCTCCTCCTTGCTTAGTAGCATGCCAAAATAACAGTTATTACCATAGGCATTCTGATTTATCACATCAAAATAAATTCACTCTCCAAGAAAAAGTAGATTTTGCATATAACTTACCCCGGTACATGTGTGTGCTGAAGTTTAAGACAATCGCCAAAAGATCACAATGAGATTCACCCTGTACACTGTGAGAAACTTAGTTCCTAAAGCCACAGTAGCTGCATTCAAATATGGCCATAAAAAGAAGCAAACTGTAAAAGAGGTCAGTTTTAGACTTGGGCTAAAGCCCAGGCAAGATTTTAAATCTCAAAACAGGATCTTAAAAAGTATTACTGAGACCAAAAATACTGAACGCAGCCTCAGTTTGCCCTTTTTAAAAGGATAAGAATGAAGTTCAGATGACTGTAGAACAGAGCTACAAGAATGTCTCCAAGACTGCAGAAAATGCCTTCAAATGAGTCTCAGCTCAAACCGTTTAGCTGATGGTGTCTGTAGCTCACATGTACTCCCACAAGAGAAGAAAAAGTACTGAAATCTCTCTGTAATCTAGTACACAACGTAGCAGAACGAGTGGAAAATTAAAGTAGAAAGATATTAATTATGAACTTGGTTAAAAAAAAAGGAGGATAATTAGGCACTGAAGCTTCACACCCAAGGAACTCAACTTATTTTGATGTTTTTCCCTTTCTAGAAGATTGCTTCAGCCAAACACCTCTAGGCTTTAGTCCAGCATGAGTATTTAGGCTCACCTTAAGAATGACTACATGCAAGTTACTGGTTTATGATTCATATGCAGGTTAGATCAGATGATCCCAGGGGCCTCTAGCCTAAGTTCTATAAAATCTTCAGAAACAGTAATATTTAAATCATGAAGCACTAAACCTCATCAAATCCCAGTGGCACGTATGTAAACTTTCTACAATCACACCAAACTCTGCAATTCTTCAGAAAGAGCTACGTTTTAAGACTTACGGTCAGAGTACATTATGCAAGATAAAAACAGAAAAGGATGAGACCAAATCTTTCACAGCAAAATTTTAACAAAAAAAAAGTTTCTTCAACTCTTGAGTCTATTGAGATAGAAACACATCACAAGAGGATGAAGGATGGGTGCTGTAGCAACTACTTCTGAGCAGCACGCAACAAAGCTTCTGACATGACACAAACAGGAAAAAA